TGGCAACACAGGCATTGGATAAATTTAAGGTTCGAAAATTTATTTAGTAGTGGAAGCATCACGAAGGCCAAAAAGTGTTAGGATACGTCTGAGCCCAATGGATACGTCTGGCGGGCTACACTTTTGATACGCTTGGATACGTCTAAAGAGTATCAGGCACAACTTCGAAGTTATCTTTATTTTATTATTTAACTTTACCCAAAAAGTGCTAGGATATGTCTGAGGCCCAATGGATACGTCTGGCGGGCTGCACTTTTGATACTCTTGGATACGTCTAAAGAGTATCAGGGATTTTTCATTCATTTAGGAAGAAGCGAATTCGGACATAGTCAACAATTTTTGGGAATGTAGCGCGTCTTTCCTAAGAATGTTGAGAACAGTCGTTGATCTTAATACTAAAAAGATTCTTTGTCGAGTGACTGGCTTACATGACGATATCAGCGAGACAATCTTTAACACCACTAAAAATAAATTATGTTTGCATGCTTTGGGAGGGAAAATGCGTGGACACTTAAATATTTAGTGACAAGTGGCAAAGTGTAAGACATATTCAAGTTGCAAAGTGGCTAATTAAGTCCCTATATTAATATGACATCGAGAGATACAATTATAATGGCACACACGTATATATTATGAGACATCTTAAGTGGCAAGGCGGTAAAATTAAGTAGCGTAATGATAAATTAAGCGCACATGTATTCGAGTGGCAAATAAAATGCAACATATATAACACACATTTGCGTATGTATAACGTTAGCGTAAATTACGCGTATCATTTCTTCCGTTTTTGTTATCTATTATATTCGACATGAGACGCAAAAAAAATTGACTCAATATAATTGGTTGATGTACAGTTGTTGTGTGTGGAACTAAAGTGTGTTCAGAATATGATTGGCCATCAAAAAATTTTCAGTCGTATATATGAACTATCGACCGCCATAAAGAAACCTTCCTCTTTCCCGTGTCTTTAGTCACCGCTGTCTCTATTGGTTAAGACTACAACCATGAGTTACGTCGCTAAAGGCAAAGACGATTATGTCGACGAAGCGCCAAAAGTAAATAATACTATTCTGTTTCTCATTACAAGAAATGTCATAGACAGGTCTATCTCACTTTTACCACAATTTTGTAATTCAAAAACTAGTACCATCGCATTCGCATTACATTAACCTCTCCCAGGGTCAAAGCGCTCGAGAGAGTGTGCGCTGATCTAATCAACCGGGCCAAGGATAAGCAGTTACAAGTAAAGGGACCTGTTCGACTGCCCACTAAAGTTCTGCGTATTACTACCAGGAAATCACCTTGTGGTGAAGGCAGTAAAACTTGGGATAGATATGAGATGAGAATTCACAAGAGATTGATTGATTTGAATTCTCCTAGTGAAATTGTGAAGCAGATTGTAAGTGTAGCAATGTGGTAGGAAAACAAAACTTTAATTAGGATGGTTGTTGACATCTTTTTTTTTTTCGCAGACTTCGATCTCTCTAGAACCAGGTGTCGATGTTGAAGTGACTATTGCTTCATAAAAGCAAAAGTCTCATCGAGCGCCAGCGTGAATAGGCGCATTATATGGAATCTCCCATTGTTTGTGTGATAATATGTGCTTATTTCGAACTGGGTCTGAATGTCGCTACGGGCCAGAACATTTGCTGATTATTACGCGCCGGATACACGGTTCAAAATGAAATAAAATTTTAATCTGTATCCGATACTTTGGAGGAATACGCAATCAACTTGTTAGATTCATCAACAAATCTAGTCACTGGTAAACGGTGAATCACTGTGCATACATAAATGCGATCGGACATAGCATTGATATTTGCTCTTTATTAGTTGTCATACGTAGCCTTGTCAATTCTCTGGCTTATGCCATGTTATTCTCCAAGTCCTAAGCATTCAATCATCCAGCTTCTCGCTTCATTGGAAACGCCTATTGCCAATGCGCGTGCCGTAATTTTCTTAAACGCATTCCCTTCCAGTTTCTCGCAATTAACAACCATTTCAAAAACCATCCTAACGAGTTCCTTATATATATATAAACCATCGTCATTCATTACGTACAACTGGTCCAAGTTGTCACCTGCACACGGTTGCTGATAAACCACTTTTGTTACAATACGAAAAGCCTTTAAGCAAGGGTCAAGATATAGCTCGCACTTTTCAAGAATCCTAAAAGTGACGGTAAATTGGTGTGTATTATACGTGAGCGCGGTAGGCGGCGATGCTAACGCAATATAGTGAAATACGTGAAGAATAGCCTTAAGCATGTTGAGCGTCCACAAGGATGTCGACGTTGTGACATTAAATCCATCTACGTAACGGAATGATTTCAGTTTTGATATTGATAACAAAAGATAAGATAAAAATTTGAATAGGTGTCTTCAAAATAAGTTACCTAGAAGGTGTAACATGTCCGTAGCAATACACAAAGCCTGATTAGACCAGATGCCTTCTTGCCAACGGGAATGTGTTTTCTTGCATCCCTGCAATACTCGTAAAAGTATTCTCGGGCCAACGAAACAGAATTGATTATCCGGTGATAATGTTGTTGATATACACAAGCTATGGATCCAAGCCAACAGTCCATTTTTAATTACCATATCATTAATCACATTTGGTATAGATGCGGCTTGGAAAATTATCTGCAGAATGTATGACAAAGATTTTCAATAGACCAAAATTCCAGTCAATTGTCAATATGGAGAATCTCTTGTTCAGCTTACCTCGTTTATAATTTTGCGCGTTACATTGTCAGATACTCGAGAAATATAATACCCGCTGATTATATCCCAAACATACCTTCGTTTGAATAATTTATAATCCTAGAGAAGAATAAATGCAAGTTTATCATCGCTGTTCCAAGCACGTGACAGTTAAAAAGTAAACTAGTTACCGAAAAACTTTTTAGTCCAGCCGACAACAGTCTTAATATCCACACTCTGTCTTTTTGAGAATTGGATGACGAGCTATACATTAATTGATAGAACATGGGCACATCCTAAGTTACCCACAATTTTGAGCATGAAAGGGTCAAATAAATTAGAAATCAAAAGAGAGGGAAATTTTTTCAAAAAAATTCATCCAACTCCTTACCTCTAGGTCAATAATTGGTCTTTGGAGCAAAAACCTGTTTATTAGAGGATACATTGTATGGGCCGGGTTCAAAAATATGGTCAGCGAAAGTGCAACAAATACTGTGATTATCGTCGGAATACGCTGGGGAGACTCAATAGACTCTCTTTCAGTAATTGCATTTTTAAGAGCATTAAGAAGGAGTAATATCTGTTTTTTCTCTCTAAACATCGCCCGCTAAAATGCATAGATTGGTTTAACGTTAATAACCAAACAACCACGTTGTCCGTAATCTCAATGTACAATTACCTCTAGCAGTACGTAGAACTCGTCTAGCAGATAATAAGCTGCGCGACGAACATTGTCTCGATTGGAAGAAAGGGATACTATAACCAACCCCAATGCATTGACTTCAATAAATCTCCGACAATCAATCATACTCCCATATGACATGAGGTTAGCAAACAAAGTCAACATAAAGGACAAATCGCATATAGGGGCTGCTCTCATTTTTATTCTTTCCTCGCTCTCCCCAATCCTCTCCTCGATTAAGCTATTCTCGACTGCCACTTCCAGCCCATCGTCAATTTTAAAATGAGTATAGCTCTGCATCAATGTCATCGCATCCAACAATCCCATAGATTCAACCACAACGTTCTCCCCCATTAATCTTTTCTTGGTTATTAAGTCGCTTGACCCAGGTCCCCATGTCATTAAATACATAATTACAGAAACCTTGGTAATTTTTTCATACTTTATAAAGATGTCAAGAAGCAGTCGATCCGAATCGGCCGTTGTTGCCCCGTATATCTCGATAAGAAATGGCAGGTATGCCTGCCTGCAACAGATGGATGGAGAAATGTCGTACAACCTATGTATCAGGTGACAGAGCGCAAGACGGATTGAACGTGTTTGCGAGTATGATGATTTGGAGGAAAGCATTGATGGATAAGTGAGAGTCGTAAACTGAGAGTGAGATAAGATAGCATCCAAAATTTTGTTCGGAGGCGGACCTATGAATGACTAAAAGAACAATTAATGCAAGAGTCTACCGCAAAACATGTATCTTCCATTTAAGGAGCACAAATTCATGACTTACTGGTTGACTATAAACAGCCGATATCAGTGAAGTTATACACTTTATGACAGACGAGAATGCAATCTTTTTGTCGATTGCGACAAATACAAACTCTCCAACTGTGTTCGCTTCTAGTACATCCGCCAGCGGTATAACATTTTTCAATATGCTTTCTGTAAGATGAAATATAATTAATTATCGACTTGCATCATTCCAAGTCGGTAACTCGAACAAATTACTTTACCTAATTTCTGAAATGTCATGTCAAATGTCTTGATTGGTGTAGAATCCAAGGCATTATTTTCTAATAGCAAAGCAATATGATGAAGACATGCTGTGACAAAGTCTTTTCGCTGTTTGCCCGACACATTATCGCCGTAATATTTGAAGAAATGGTCACATATAGTCAAGTAATCCAGACCGAATACGGATGATACGTCCCCATGTATTAAATCTTTGGTTACTCGTTTTAATAGCGCCGTAGGTTCCAGATCGAGTAGCGTGCGGAATACAAGAGTTACTAATGACGGGCTCTGAGAATTCAAAGATACCTGCATGCCCGCAAGTAATCTCTTCCCATACATTTTCCCTATGAAAGATATTGCATTTCTATCATCATCAGTTGCCGAATCCTCGAACCACATTGCACGTTCATTCGATCTGATGGCCACAGTGCTCAAGTAGGCATCAATCAATGAAACTAACTTCTCCGTAGGCATATTCAGAAATTCCTTCCGGATACAATTTTTGAACAGCTTTCGAAATTGAGATTTGCATAATATCAGAAGGCGTAGTATGCTAATACGTGTATCGTTCATATTGTTGGTTAGATGATAAAAAACGTCATCATTAATGTCCTTGGGTATTGTAGCATGTAATCTTTTTTCAACCGACAAGATACTGGTCAGCGACAAGTCTTCAGTCGGTTCGTCAAGACCCTCTGGTAAATGATTCTTGATGAATAGAAGCAGGACTCTATCGAGATCTTCTGCTGACCGAGTCTTCCAAGTGTCCAGAAAACTGCTTATGCTATCTTCAGATAATACCTTCTTTCTATACAATTCAGATATCGATGGAGTCGCAGAAATTTTGTCGCGTTGCTGTCCGGACCTGCGCATATTCCGTATCAAATTTGATATAAATTCTGAAACGACAGAAGTTGGGTTTGTCGTCTGGCGGTTGTAGTCAACAATAGTGATTAACAACGGGCTGAATGGATACTCAAACTCGTCCTCTTCCGTATTATATCGAACAGATAACTTTTGCCTTGCAATTTCTACCAGCTCCTTGCTTTCGTTCGCATTATCAACATCCATAGAGTTTGCGTTTACCAAATTGTCTTTCACGTTTTTGGTTAACTTAACAGTTCGGTCAATATCTTTGTAAGGATAATTACGGTATTGTAAAATACGACTGTCTAAAAATTTGAAAAGTTCAATCTTGTCCGATTTTGCTTTTCTGCGGGAAAGCGTTTGCTGAATAGTGTTGAGAAATATCTCTGATTCATTTGGATCATGCTGGAAAAGAATAGATTCGGTCATAAAGTATCGAAGAGCTTGAGCTGTCTTTTCTTTGACTTGCGGGTATGGTGTTGAAATGTATAGATTTATAAGCGAGATTAAATGGGAGAAGTCAGATTCTGTAGCAAATACAAACAAGGATGTAAGTAGCTTGTCAAGGGTGAGAACATAAGAAAAGTAAAGATTGATAAGTAACCGTTTTTATTCCACCAGGGAAATCCATCAATGGCAAATAGCAGATCAAGCAAATGAAGAACCAAGCCAACTGCCACCCTGTTAAAATCTGCGGGAATTAACCTGCCCATATCAAACTTAGACTGAAACAGCGAGTCCGGTATATACTTCTGATAAAACTTGATTAATCGTAGCACTGCCTCACGCATCAACTTATTCCTCATCGTTTCTTCATCGTCTGGCCCCTTTTGTAGATTTTCGGCAGCTAGAATATCATGATGTAGCTTTAACAGCACTTGAACATCAGGCACGCGTCTTCTCATTTCTTCTGCAAGGGAATTCGGTATATCATTCCACCGTCTAGCATTTGCAGTATCAATGATTTCTATGCTCGCGGCGATCTCTCCGAACCGACGGCTTACGTTGTCAAGTTTTTGAAACAAAAATCCAAGAGAAATTGCAGTTGTGAACCTTACGAGAAGACTGCTATGTTGCAGGCCTTTACTGATCGCTATGCGATTTACAGCTGATGGCAAAATATTTTCAATAATTGTACTGCAGGGTGGTGGACTAGATAGATACGTTCGCGCATTCGGTAATTTGAGAGAAGGAACAGGGAGAAAAACTATTTTTTGAAGTAAGGACATAGTACTAAGCCAAGTAGAGGAGAGGCGTGGTTCGAAAGTAAGTTTTGTGGATTGCCAAAACCTGAGCGGATATACAGAATTTAAATTAATATCTTACAAATTATTTATAACTTCCATATAAATTTACTTACACAGGAACCAACTCCGGGCAAGCTTCCAATATTCTTAACAACAAGTCTTGCTGCCTTAAATCCTCAATTGGCTTCAGCTTTGTTATAAACTTTGATAGCACAATGTTATATACTTTTACGCTCTTCTCTCTTTCTTCATCAATCGTCTGAGTCGCTACAGTGCCATGAGGATACCATCCCAAATCTTGAAAGCAAATGCCAACTCCGGGCGTACAACATAATGATCGCAGAAAGTTATGGACCAAGTCAGCAATGCAATGTGATGGATCCGAAGGGGCGGGATCGCGACATGCAAAGAGCCGGAGAAGCTACGATATGATTTTTCGTTCGAATTAATGGTACAATACAATTCATATAAGTATCAAATTGTATACGTTAAAGTCTAAGTTACATGGTCCAAGACTGAGCCGGTAAAGAAGTTGATTTTCGTCTTCCGATCAAGGTCAGTTTCTAATATTACGCGATCGTATATTGTTCGTAACACTTCGTCAACAAACTAAATCATTGCACATGTTAGTCGGTATCCGTAAAGGAAGTGCAAGATATAATCATTATCTGCGCTTGCCTCATAAGTGTCTTGAGGTAATCCTTTAAGGATAGATCCAACAAAATTTTTTAATTCAAGAATAGTTTTTTTGATTTTCACATCTCCGCGTATTAAGAATGACAGTATAAATCGAACATACAGTGTGCGAACATCTGTAAAAAAAGAGTATATTGTTTAGAATAACGTTTTAACCTGACAGACCTGAATGAAACATAATAAACCAACCTATTTTGTTCCTAGATTTCCCATCTTCCCGCTCCAATCTAATGTTTAATAGTCTTCCCAGAGACTAATATTTCAAATAAAAGCTCGTTAGAATAAAAAAAGCTGTAAGATGGTGTCTTTGCATTGTAACGCATTTTACTGACCTTATGCCCAAAATGAAATGTCTCGGTTAGTTCGCGTGTCATTGCTAAAGAATGCGAATTCATCGCGACCAACATTTTCAACGTTGCCTGACACAGCGGTATTCTTCCACCAAGATTACGATATATGATCTTCATGTAGTTGGTTAGTATTCGCTTTATGATCGAATTTCCCGACGCGCGCGCTGCTGCGATGTTCGTATTATCGATTACTTTCGCTAGAAGGTCGACGATCAGCACTTCTATCTTGGTAATATTGTGCTGTTTTGTTGGTGCATTAAATGTTATGTATCAAGGAATATGTCAATGACTTTGGGAGAAATCTATAAACACTCGATGGCATACTTTTTGTTGGAGATCCCATATACGAAATAGATCAGAGCATTCGGGGGATGCTTGGAGGTATTCGCGAAATATTTTCAAGTTGTTTTCAGTGGATGCGTTGGCAGTTTGCTCGGTTGATGGCGGAATATAGAGTAGCTGACGGAACCTAAGGATTCCTTATAACAAGCAATTCATGCGAACTGTTATTATTTCTATTCAAAGTCTAATCAGATATTTCGGCCAGCCTCCGTCAAATGGCATTACATTCCAATGAGTCCACAGTGCACCTTGATATATAGTCTCGATGTTAGTTGATCCCATAAATTCCCGTAATTCTCCAAACTTCTTGAATGGTTCAACCCTTTGGTTCTTTTCCTCTTGGCTTTCATCCATTTTGTTTATATTCTAATACGTGAAGACGCAAAAAAAAAACATTTGAATTTTTATACTGGTATTTAATGTGATTGGATGATCGTCGTCACACAGTCTCAACATTATTTTTTCTCTAGGCAAATAGTAACTATAACGATAATGCATAGACCATGGCGTTGGTAATATCGATATTAATATTGGGCGCGTAGTTACTAATTAGTATACACTAAACCGAGATCATTTTATTATTATTATTATTGGCTCAAACCACTAATAACTCTGGTAATATTTTAAATTTCATTATGTCTCGAGAATGAATCTAATTCTTCATACCATAGCATAACAGTATTAATGCTCTTATAATGCTGGCCATCAAATTACATCAGGAGCGTGAAATAAAGCCTCTTAAAAGCGAAACATTCAGGCATTTATCACAACTAATACGTAGGAGCGAATATCACGATCACACACAAACTTGCAAAGGGCAATCTGTGGCGCTCGACAAATCAGGCCGTCCCCTGAATTCTCTGTGGCGTAAATTTGAAGCCCCTACTACAAGACCCGTATAGTTTTTTCTTGAAACTATATATGTTTACTATTTTATATATGCTGTCATATGAGAATAGAGTTATCGTGTCTTAAAACAGAGTGCCATCTGCAATATTCTTGCCAATTGGATAATATCAATACATGATGGATGGAGATAGTGAAGATGAATACGACACCCGAGACTTGTCACCGTCAACTGACACGGAAAGCCGTGACCAAGCCTCCGAGACTGAAGGTATGTGGATATTACTATGATCGAGGATGCTTTGCAGGCGAATCGAGCAGTAGGGCAATTAAGTTGATTGCATTGCTATTTTAATTTAAACATGGATTTGGTCCTGATCACAAGAAACGTTTGGTATAGACGATATTACCCCACGTTCGTTAATACCCGGTACGAATTTAAATACAAACCACGCAAATCGTGCTCTCCAGCCGTTTGCTGCTGAATGTAGCAGTTACGACATTGTGCCATACGTAAGTTCGATACTTGATAGATAGCACTTCTTCTGATCTACAGTCTATCTAATGACTTGTCCTCTCTTGTATAGGTTGCTGCTGTTCATGGATGCCATGTGTATGCAATTGATGCAACTAAGAACATGCGATGGATATTCACTGGTGGTGACGATGGCTTTGTTAGAAAGTATGACTTCTTCTCCTCGTTAAATGGGAAGCAAATATTGACCCAGAATCAAAGGCATGCACACGTTGAATCTGTCCAAAAGGTGAGGTAAGTAATCTCAGTGGAAGATTGTTGTTCCAGGGATTATAACAATGCATGTAACGTGATTTAGATAAAAATTGATAGAACAAAGCGTTTTTGTAGGCTGGAGTAATTCTTTCCTATTGGGAGAACGAGGAACAACCATTGCCAACAGCTCCGCCTACGCCAGTAACAAATGGAGTTTCAGGTACTCTTTGAGGATTGCTATGTAGGATATAACGGGAAGTGATTGGCAAATTTATGTTATTTTCCTCAATTTTCAGAAAATCAAAGTCAAGGCCAGAATGGGACAAATCATGACAGAGTTAACCAATCAGAAACATCACAACCCTCTCCATTACCGCAATCATCAGCGCCACCTTCGGTTTTGTTGAATACAGAACCAAAATTATCACCCGTCTACAGTTTAGCTGTACAATCTGAAGCAATATGGCTGCTTAGTGGTTTAGAGGCATGTTTTTGATTATCCACCTTGTCATATGTCAATAAGAACGAACACTAATGCCTGGCATCCTGTAATAATAGAGTGGTTCCATCAATTTGTATACTGTAAGACATGAAGAAGGGCGCTGTCATCATGTATTACGACAGCACAGACGTCCCGTGTCTGTATTAAAAATCACACAAGACGAGTACGGTTGTGTTAGTGGATCATGGGATAAAACCGTGCTGGTAAGAATTTGAACTTGTATATTTTGTTCAAAGATTTAATGCAAAGCTGTAACAAAATTTCATTTATGCATTTTATGTCAAAGTATTGGGACTTGAATACAGGCCAAGTAGTGCGTGAATTCGCAGGCCATAACTCGCAAATTAGTTCAATCTCTTTTCGACCACTTGTCACTCCGTCACCTCGGTCTCTATCAAATGAAAACTCTCTCATAGTACCAGAATTACCTAATGATCAAGAAGATACAATTATTCATTCAAATAATATATTAATGACAACCAGCATTGATGGAAACTGTTTTCTCTGGGATAAAAGGGCGCGTGAACCGATACCGCGGAAATTACACCCACCCGAACGTACACCTCCATGGACTTTATCGGTGAGTGTCTTGTGAATTGGTCAATAGTGGGGGCTTGAAAGTGAATTGATGGTGAAGAGATTTATTAAATAGTGTGACTGGCACTGTTACTATCAAGGCTTGTTGGAGCGCTGATGGAAGTAAAATATATTGTGGTCGCCGTAACGGTACAGGTAAGAAGAGACAAATGCCTGGGAATGATGGATCGTACTTTTTTTTTTACCATTGTCAGCATTCGATTTTTATTAACATTCCCTATAACTGGAGTTGACGAGTGGGATTTTGCGAGTGGGAAATGCATGAGGATCTTTCGAATGCCGTCCAATTCCGGACCAGTGTCGTGCGTGAGCGGCATGCCTAATGGAAAGCATATAGTATGGTATGTGATTTGACCCTGATAGTGGCCTTCGTTTAAATGGTACCGAATGAGTCGTTCTAATAATCCCATACGAACAGCTCATCCACGGATAACATACGTCTATGGAACGTATCTACAGATGAAGCAGAACTTTTTGGCACGGCTGTTCCTTTTCTTATTGTCCCTGGGCATCATGGCGGAATAATCTCACAAATTTGTATCCTTAATATGTACTGAGTATGTAGCATGGATTACACGATTGGGATTTTGGCATTGTCTTTAACTCAACTACATTGACAGTGATTGACGCGAGCTGTCGTTACATGATTACCGCCTCTGGAAATAGAGGGTGGGAAGGAACGAGTACGGAATGTGCTTTATTCTATGAAATATCTCCAACATAGCAAAAGTTAGAAAAGTCGTATGATGTGTACATATATTTCGTATACACAAATTCATCTACAAAGTCATGTTAATAAATCATAAAAGAAATTTTGGGTTAAAATGCGCGCATTCGCATTCGCAACCCCTCTATTTTGAGATTATCCCCTGAGACAGTTAGGTAATAAAAAAGGTCATATGGGTTTCAGCATCAGCTGCGCCAATTATTTACCGAGTTATTTTTTGGTTATAATATCATTAAATAATATTTGACATGGTTTTTCATAGAAACACTCGTATAAGGAAAAATTCCAGTTAAAGCGTTAATTGATAGATACATCGTCGAAGGAAAGGTTGCTTTTGTAATCTGTTAGAGAATAAACCAATACAATCACTTTCTACAGAAGAAATAACATCTAGAAC